TTGTTTTCGTTTCCTAAAATGGAGAGACTTATGCTGTGGATTTCCGTTATGGGATGTATTGAAAGGCTCTCCTGTGTGTTACCGTGCTGTCATCACAGGGACCTCACACAGAGAACAATGTCAACATGTTAATTTGGACACCAGGCCCAGCCTGTCTATTTCTCTCTTCCCCCTATTCAGTCTGCAACCCATTGGATGTATTGAACTTGACACACTTTCACTGGTCCTTTTTAAACATTCTTTAATTGACAGCGACCTCTATCATCTTTCTCATTTTTGTGCTTTTCTCATCCCCTCAAAGCTGGAATGATCCAGAAACTTTACGAGTTGGCCGTCTACCCCTCATAATGTACAATTAGCACTGTTTTGATTGTCAATATCAAGTATGTGGTCAGGCTATAATCACAATTAGGATGTCCTTTTCCACTCGAATAATAACTCCACATTTGTGATTTCTTACTCACCTTCTCTGAGGGATGGCTTTTTCCATGCTGCTGGTATCATCAGCAGGTGATGAATTTGGAGCCTTCTCAAAAATAATAGTGTCTACCTTTAATCGTGGCTTGCCACTTAACACATTAGCACACTCACTTTAATTGGGGAAATAGCTGTGTGAGAAGCACATCAACGACACAAGCAGAACCTTGAACACACATTCATGGACAGTTGGCAGGACGGCTGGATTGTGCGTCAGAGCTGTGGAAAAAGTGAATCTTTCAAAATCTCTCATAATAAAGGGAGAAGGTTTCAGAGCTGCCAGACTGCGAGCGACACCATGTCCATTCGTCTGGCTGGGTTTTTTCTCTGTTATTCTGGAGGAGCAGCATGGTTGGCACTCTCGCTCTCTCTCACTATACGGTGTTAAAAAGTCAGGTTTGCAACCCCCGAGCCACCCACAGTGAAACATACTGAGTCAGAGATTTTGATTTCCATGATCTCGTGGGAGTCACGTTCAGAACCCTGTCCCAAATGACTTTACCACTTTAATTCACCAAACCTCCTTGGAATCCTACTGCTTTTTTATGACCATGCAGCACTCTCTACTAAATTGCCTTTCGCTGGCAGTGGCTGTGGATAATGTGACCACAATGCAGGACAGTGTGGAGGATTCATCTAACCACAGAGACATCCCAAAACCCACTGATTGCCTTCTCCTCTGCTCTGGCTCAATGTGAGTGGGAAGAGGGAGGAGAACGTCAATGTCCCAGGTTACCTCTACTTCAGAGAGAAGAGAGCAGGACGAGAGGAGAAGAGAGAGAGACGAGAGAGAGAGAGAATGAGAGAGAGAGAGGAGCTAGATGCTCCTGCTCTCTCAAGTCCTTCCTCGTTATCTCGACCTCTCATCTATATCTAGCACATCTCCGCTCTATCCGACTTAAGCGCGTAGACTATATCTGATCTATATAAACCCCTAATATATCCCCATATATTTATCCCTCCTTCTCCATATCTGGTTTGTATAATATCTATAATCCTTTGAGAACCATGTTAACACGCCCAATGGGAACCATATGGATCAACCAACGGTGGGTTTCACCCGAAATACAGTAACCCATATTTACGAGTGGAGGTGAAGGGTTCCTGGTCGGGGGGAGCGGCGTTATACTCTAACCCCCCTATCCAGACCCCCAAAAGAGGATGGCCCCCTGGCATGTCTCCGCTCTTGGGGGGGTACACGCCGTTCAGTCTGCTCTGGAGGTCAAAGCCAGTCTGAATGCTGACTGGTGGTTGGTGAAGAACATCATACATCATCTTGGAGGCACTGTATTTCCAAACACACCATGTAGATGTTAAACTCATTAATGTACCTCCCGGTGTGTTAACTTGGGGGTTCTCCAGTTTACGAAACACACTCACACACACACAATTTAAATACTTTATTTGCGTCCACCAATCAAATGTACAAAAAGGATCCAAACATTTCAAAGGACCCTGTATGCATGGCACTCAAGGGTACAAAAATAACCTCCTTCTCCAAACAGCTAGGCTGTCCACGTCAGCTGAAACAGAGCAGTACCTAGCCAATTGCTTTGCCCTAGTTTTTGTCAGGCCCGCAATCTGGAGGCCACGCACTGCAAGCCTGTGTACGTTGCAGAGACTGCCAAATATCAGCACCACCAGCTTGCACCTACACCCGAGGCTGTCCATGTGTGCCACAAGGGGCTGGTATTTTAGCAGCTTCTCTGCAAAGTCCTGCTCCATGTAGCCGTCTAATGAGCAGCCCACTTCCAAAATGAGCACCTCCCCCTGGCCTCCCCCACAACAACAATATCTGGCATATTTGTCACACAGGAAAACACATCATCATCAACAACATCAAACCAGCTTCCCCTTACACAAGAATGTTTCTGCATGTGTGCTGTTGGTGAGACTACTTGTCTCAGCTCGCTGGCTATCAGGTCAACAAGGCAGGCATGTCTAGCAATGTACAAATCCTTGTATGAACAGCAACCATTCACAACATGGGCAATGGACTCCATTACATTTGACTCATGTAGAATACAAAATGGATCATGGTTTGCAGGGTACCAGAGTGCTAGATTATATTTTGTTGGTAGAACTTGCAGCCTCACCTTTGACAGTAAGGGTGAGAATGTCCTCGCCACACACACACACAAAACGGCAAGACTGCCAATGATGTTCAGAAAAGGTATTTAATACTGTAGAATTCAGAAACAAGACCAGAATCTAATGTCACTATTTCCTGCCCCATTGATGGGTGTGTTTGTTCTGCCTTTGTTACAGCTAGACATCCACATGGTTGAATTGTTACTAATTTAGGGCGTTGCTACTCAGTACCCATCATGTAGTGTGGCTCTTACGGCCCTGTCAGAATCAGTGTGATCCTACAGAAATGTTATGACTAAACAGAGGTAGGAGTTCATTAAAAGATGAATGTATGAGTGTATCAACAGTCAGATGTAATGTTCATTTCATGTGCTTTCAGGGGCTGTCACCACTCTGCACCATATGGCGTTCTGTAGCTCTGTCTGTAAAGGGAGAGGAAAACATCAATAAGCAAAACGACTTCATAGTGAGAAATATTTTGTAATATTTTCTCCAATCAACCTGGGATGAGACTGTGGATAGTGAATAGTTTTTAGCCCTATGCTGCCTCCCAGTGGACAATACCTTTATGGCTCAAATAATTAGTGCTAATTGTTTACCTTTTCTTTGATTAGGCACTGCATTAGTAGTGCTGTCTGTCTAAGATCACCTTCCAGGCTATAATATATACTGTTTAATAAATAAATAAATAATAGTAGAATAATAATAATAATAATAATACATGTAAATTGTCCAGAAGGATAAAAGGTAGAGGGCAGCGGTATAGGCCCTGTAGCCCTGTACATCATGTAAATATTAGTTAAAATCTCAGATCCATTTAACTAGTATGTGTGAATTGGTCATTGCACTCCAAGGCAGAGAAAGGCTGAGATCACTCTGTAAGAGCTCTGTTCTGGTTGGCCTTAAATAGATGTGATCCCTGTATCAGTGGATATAGGCCGAAGTACAGGACTTCACCTAACTAACCCCAGGTCACACCTTAACTGGCTTACCACTGTCAAGGTTTTACTCTGATGACCTGATATCTACTCACAAACACCACCAAGGGGATATATAGACGGGTTGGCTGACAACATCACGAACATCATGTGCGTGCTTCAAAGGGGCAAAAGGCCGTGTGTTGTTATGGTTCTGGATGGCCAGATAGCTAGCAACAATGACAAGAAACTGCCATGTGGGGAATCGTAAGTTGCTCATTTGAACTTGTTCTTGATTCCATGTCTTGTTTTGAGGTGTTTTGCCTGATGTCACACCTATGCTAATATGGCTAAAATTTGCCAGCTAGCTAACCAACAACTGTAACGATGTATTTGAGAGACAAAAAGTGCTCATTGTGCAATTTTATTTATGTTTTCAATAAACATTCAAGATGGAATATAATTTATATGTTATCAACATTCTAAGCAACCCCATCTGTTTTGCCCCATAGTTGCGCACACGTCGGTTTTGTTGCTAAATAACCAACCCGGCTATATAACAGTGAGTTGTATTTAAATCCTGTTAAACTCTGCTGCCCTCTGGTGGCATTTTGTAAACAACGCATAATATTGTGTACTACCCTCATAAAGAATAATAACATTTTGGTTTCAAAACTACAAATCTTCCTAACACATAATTCATATTTTTAGAAAGGTAAGAACTGTGGGTATCTGATAAATGTGTCAGAAACAATTTGACTATTACAGGAATGACATACATATGAGGAGAAGGCAGAAGTCTCTGCCCATCCATTTATGTGAAGATATCCCCTGTCTGATTCCCAGTTCGTCCACTAGATGGCAGTAAGAGATTACATGACGGCTCTTGGCCAGTTGAAACCAGTTGTATTTGGTTTTGGTAGCGAGTCACTGTGCCAAAATTGCTGAATGGAAATTCAAGCCTAACATCTTAAAATTAAAATCAGGGCTCTCTAGTTATCAAGTTAGTTTTTTTGAAATAAGACACAGACAGGTGAAGAAACTTAAAACTCATTTTCCCATTTCCCATTCCTATTGCAAACAAGTGAGAGATCAATGGCGCATGTGGAGGATGCATACAAGGTAATGTGGATGGAAAAGGAAATGCATTGCTTTACAATGACCATCAGAGTGTACCCTTTCCCTTCATCCTAAAAGGTTTTACTTTTGGTGACTTGACCTGCATTGCATACTCTATGAACATGACCATAGCGCATAGTTCCCCTCACCTTCAGTCCAATTGAGCTTGTGTAATAGTTATCTGCTTATCGTCAGGGGTTCACACTGTAGAACTCCACTGCCCCAGTCCAACCAACTCCTTCGCCTCTCCTGGTATTCAACAGAGTCTTGGAAAAGAGAAAAGGTTGTTGCCTTGATCTGAAAATACATATTTCATACAGTAATGTCACTAGACTTTAAACTAACTAACTTCTATTTACCTAAATGGCAAGAGATTTCCATCGTTTAGCATTTTCCTCACCTCACATGAGTTGACCTCAGCAGTGCATCCTGGCTGTTGTAGCGTGACTCAGTTGGTTCTTGTCTGCGGGGCGACTCATCCAACACCTCTGACTCATAGAATGCAGTGATGCTGAAAATAATAATTTCATAAATATTCAGGGCACATTTTTGCAGTCTTTAAACTGAATCTGACATTATGAGGTATCTTGTGATATGTCTTGCAGTGCTGGTACTGACCACCCACCCACCATCCAGGTGGGTTCTGTAGTCCGTCAGGCCAGGCCCAGGGCTCTGCTGCAGGGTAGGGAGGGCCAGGCATCTCCCCCTGTCCTGCCCTCTCCTCTGGACAGATCTTCCCCTGTCCTGCTCCCTGAAGATCTCATGTCTGTCTTTCAGGAAGTATATTCTGAACTTCCATTGGTGCTCACGTACTGTGGTGTGACATCACTCAGGTGCCAAGCAACGTTTCAATGGGAGGCAGAATTCCTTGGAAGATATACAAATGGAAGAGGAAGGAATGAAAAATACAAATACATGCAGTTTGATATTATAGCCTCTGCATAAAAAGGCAAATTCTTTAAGTGTGAAAGATGAAAATGTGTCTTATAAAAGCTAACATTTAAATGAATTAAAGCTATTCTGACATTACTTTGTGAAAGGAAAAGGTTAGCAGGTTAGTGTTTTTTGTCATGAATCTTGTTCTGGGGGCAGCTCTGCAGAGTGGTCACTAGCTGGCACAGCCAGAAAGTCATAACATTTTAAACCTTAACCTTAACCGTAACCCTAACCTTAACCACACTGCTAACCCTAATGCCTAACACTAACCTTAAATGAAGACTAAAAAGCTAATTTTAGATTTCATGAATATAACCTATTTCTACTTTGCAGCTGGCCTATCTAAGAGGAAATCGCTCAGATCTGCCTCCAGGACAAGACTCATGGCAATAAACGTCAACCTGCGTCCGGATGTGTAGATGTGTTTACCTGGAGCAGGACGGCACAGAGACAACCGGACTTCAGAAGGAGAGCCTCTCAGCAGCGTGACCACCCTCTACAGGCCAGAGAGAGAACTGTCACTCACTGTCACATCCACAGACAGGCAATTATGGAATGATGGGTTAGGTCCATGCTATTCTGGATTGAAGTTAAAATGTTAAATGGTTACGTAAGGGTTAGGATTAGGTAAGTGTTATGGTTAAGGTTAGTTTAGTTTAGGGGTTAGGGTTAGGGTAAGCCTTTAGGGTAGGGATGTCCCAAGGATCCCGGATAGCACTGACCGTTAGACCACTGAGAAGAGCTAAGAAGAGCTTTGTACACTGTGTTCTTAGACCTTCACTTATTAATCCCATCCATGTGTTACCGAGGTACATTGAATCTAAGTACTCTTGGATCCACCACAATAGGATTGAATGTACAGTAAATTAATATCCAAGTCGCCATATTGGCTTGGCTTGATGCAACAGAACAAAACATTTATCTCAGGGGATAAATGACCATAACAATGTATAATAAGCCTTATAAGCCCATAAGATAATGAGTGGTGATACAGAACTATTGAACAAATCAATCACACTGAGTGAAACAAAAACCCTTTCTCTCACACTACATTTCCACAACATCTATGTCTTCCAATGCTCCCACCCCATATACAGTATGCTAACTCACAGTTGTAGCTACAGTTGAACAATCGTATTACGTCACACCGTTCTGCGTCTATATTTACCTGGTAGGACAATCCTTTCAGCGGTTCTCCATTGACTGCCAGGATGACGTCTCCCTCCTGGATCCGCCCGCTCTCCTCCGCTGGCTGGCCAGGGAAAAGCTTCTTGATCCGGACAAGACTACTGCCTGAGTCTCCTTTCGAGCTGTTGAGCTCAGGGACCAGGAAGCTGAAGCCCAAGCCATTCAGCCTCTTCTTCAAGGTCACCTCCAAAGTGTTCCCTGTAGGGTGGAGGGATTAGGGGATTGAAGTGTGTCAGAGTTCACCTTGGAGGCTTGGACCGTGGATCCAGACTGGGTAGCTGTCAAAGGTAACATTCTCTCTCACAAAAGCCTAATAGACCGACTGTATTCACTCACACTATACCGATAAGATGGTTTAGTTGCCTGTCAGTGGGTGTGCTTACTTATTTTTACACCATCTGCTGGTCATTTTTGTCAGTTTGTTTAAGCAGATTTCTCCAGTTCGTCTGGCTGATGTAGCATGATTTCTAATCCCTCCTCCATGACGGACAATGCTTCTGAGCTCAGTCCCTCAAAGCACCAGTGTTCCCCTTACACTAAAGTTCCCTTGTCGATGATATACTATCCCTTACCGTCAGACACGAAGCTGTAGTCCTTATGCCTGACCAAGAAGGGGGTGATGATGGTAGGGCAGCTGTTGTTCCTCATCTGGGTGATGTCCAGGTGGGAACTCTGAGGGGAGAGGCTGCCCCCCATTAGACTGCACCCTGTGTCTGGGCTCAGAGACACCCTGGGCAGGGTGTTCATGTTCTCCCTCTCCAGGACCAGGGTCACCACCTACAGTAGGACAGGAAACGGTTAAATAAAGACAAACAACAGTTTATGCCTCTCATTAGTCTGTACCTTTCAGAAACTAGTTTTAAATTACTCTCTTAGAAAAAAGGCTTCCAAAAGGGTTCTCCGGCTGTCCCCATAGGAGAACCCTTTTTGGTTCCCGGTAGAACCCTTTTGGGTTCCAGGTAGAACCATCTGTGGAAAGGGTTCTAGATGGAACCCAAAAGGGTTCTACCTGGAACCAAAAATGGTTCTTCAAAGGGTTCTTCTATGGGGACAGCCAAATAACTATTTTAGGTTCTAGAGAGCACCTTTTGTTCTAAGAGTGTACCGTATATACAGGTACATACACATTGCACAAGACAAACAGCACACAATCAGAACACATGTTAAAATGTCAGTGTTTGTTGGCACTCATAGTTTTTATACACAGTTCAGTTAAAGGCCAACACAGAAGCAAAACTATGATGGTGTTGCCTTGCCCTGGTGTTGCAGCGGAGATGCTGATGTTCCTTTACCTTTCCTGTTCTCGCCAGACATTCCACAGCCTGCTGATATGTGAACCCTTGAAAACTGATTCCATCAACTTTCAGTAGTCGGTCACCTGTTAGATGCGCACACACAAACACACACACACACACACACACAGGCACACACACACACTGCCGATTCATCATCTCAATCTCATCTAAATTGAATTTGTGCAGCAATAATCCAGTATAATGTTCTTCTGATGTCATTATTATTTCAGGTGCTGTAAGAGTAGAGCTTGTTCAGCATTATACTGTACCTGACTGGATGCGGCCATCTTGCTCAGCGGCCCCTCCACAGACTAGGCTTTGGATGTAGACACCTCCATGACGCAGGCCTGTGTTCACACCACCCTGACAAATCAGAAACACAAGGTTATTATCCAACAACATGACAGTCTCTGTGGAAATGTAAGTTGATCAATATACTGCACACCATCAATAACATTTGCATGTCTGGCTAATTGCTGAAGCGGCTTAACATGACAATGTACCATAAAGGGTTAACTCCCCATATTTGTTCATACTAACATAATAAGTCCCTACTCTCTGGGCTCTACTTTAACAAACCTAACGCAATGGTAAATCTTAGCGCTGGCAGTAGTGCTACAGGTCCAGGGGTGTGTCAGAAATATTTTGGCTATTTTCACTGCAGGAATTATGAGCACAATAGCTGGCGGGGGCGCGAAAGGGCTGGGTTTTGATGAATAAATAAATTATAAGTGTGACGAGGGCTTGGCCACTCACTGGCCAATCAATGCGTTTCATGGGTTAATACTGCATGCTGTTGTCTCAAGTTCTGTAGGTTATTGACAGTAAATTAGTTGTCATCAACTCCAATTCGGCCGGGGGCACGGAATATTCTCTTCCTGGTACATTGTGGATTGTACAGTTTATTAAAATAGCATAGATGTCACGGATTCAGCCGAGGCTGCCCCTCCTCCTTGCTCGGGCAGGCTTCGGCGTTCGTCGTCACCGGAGTACTAGCTGCTACCGATCTATGTTTCTATGTTCGACTTGTTCTGTCTTGATTGGTTACACCTGTTTCCCATTATGTAGTATTGTCTTCCCTATTTAACCCTCTGTCTTACACTGTGTGTTGTGTGTGATTGTTATTGTTATCGGCTGTCTTTAGTGTGCGGGTTATTTCCTCCCTGTGTGGAGATTGTGTATTCTCAGATTACTTTCTAGTAAAGTACGTTTTCTGATCAGCTCTGTGTCCTGCGTTTGACTTCGCCCACCGCATTTCACTGATGCCTTTGACAATAGGCTACAGTAATGAGTAATAGCAACAATATGCTTGGAGTGTTGACAGTCAACATTGTTGCAATTGGTTTCAACGAGTATAGGCCTTTACACAGTGCACTTTTCCTGAAATTGTCACGCGTGCTGTAGGTGGGTGTAGTGGTGGAATCAAACGCAGAACACCGAAGGATAGTCCAACAGACTTTAGTCAATCTCCAAACAGGAAAATATGACACGACTTGCCCGAAGGCAAAAATTACGCACGAAGGCGAATAAACAAAAAGCGCACTAACAGGTGCGTAACACTCCAACGCAGTGGAGGAAAGCTCAACCGAGCGAAATAGCGAACATAAGCCCTACACACGACAGACCAAAATCAATAACACACAACACTAGACAAACACAACGAGAAACTTATAGGACACTAATTACGCTAAACGAGAACAGGTGTCACAACAAACAGACAAAAGCAAACGAACATGAAACATACAACGGTGGCAGCTAGTATTCCGGAGACAACGAACGCCGAAGCCTGCCCGAACAAGGGAGAGAGGCAGCCTCGGCCGAAACCGTGACAGTACCCCCCCCCTTGACGCGCGGCTCCAGACGTGCGCCGACTCCGGCCTCGGGGACGACCCGGAGGACGCGGAGCAGGGTGCGTCGGGTGCCCACGATGGAATTCCGTCAGGAGAGACGGGTCCAAAATGTCTCTCCTCGGCACCCAGCACCGCTCCTCCGGACCGTACCCCTCCCACTCCACAAGATATTGGAGACCCCCCATCCGACGTCTCGAATCCAAGATGGACCTCACGGAGTACGCCGGTGCCCCCTCGATGTCCAATGGGGGCGGAGGAGTCTCCCTGATCTCACTTTCTTGGAGTGGGCCAGCTACCACCGGCCTGAGAAGGGACACATGGAACGAGGGGTTAATACTTTTATATTCAACAGGTAGTTGTAATTTGTAACACACCTCGTTCAACCTTCCCAGGACTTTAAATGGCCCTACAAACCGCCGACCCAGTTTCCGACAGGGCAGGCGGAGGGGCAGGTTTCTGGTAGAGAGCCAGACTCGATCACCAGGTGCGTACACCGGTCCCTCACTGCGGTGGAGATCGGCGCTCGCCTTATGACGTCGGAGGGCCCGCTGCAGGTGGACGTGTGCAGCGTTCCATGTCTCCTCCGAGCGCCGCGCCCACTCATCCACCGCAGGAGCCTCGATCTGGCTCTGCTGCCAAGGTGCCAGAACCGGCTGGTAACCTAACACACATTGGAAAGGGGTTAGGTTAGTGGAGGAATGGCGTAGGGAATTCTGGGCCATTTCGGCCCAGGGAACGTACCTTGCCCACTCCTCCGGCCGGTCCTGGCAGTATGTTCTAAGAAACCTACCCACATCCTGGTTCACACGTTCCACCTGCCCATTACTCTCCGGGTGGTAACTCGAGGTGAGGCTCACCGAGACCCCCAACCGCTCCATAAAAGCTCTCCAGACTCTGGAGGTATATTGGGGACCTCGATCAGACACAATATCCTCGGGTACCCCGTAGTGCCGGAACACATGGGTGAATAGGGCTTCGGCAGTTTGCAGGGCGGTAGGAAGGCCCGGCATGGGGAGCAAACGACAGGCCTTAGAAAACCGGTCCACAACGACCAGTATAGTGGTATTCCCCTGTGAAGGAGGAAGGTCAGTAAGGAAATCCACCGAGAGGTGGGACCATGGTCGTTGTGGAACGGGCAGGGGTAGTAACTTACCCCTAGGCAGATGTCTAGGCGCCTTACACTGGGCGCACACCGAGCAGGAGGAAACATAAACCCTCACATCCCTTGCCAACGTGGGCCACCAGTACTTGGCACTAAGACAGTGCACTGTCCGGCCGATACCCGGGTGTCCAGAGGAGGGTGACGTGTGAGCCCAATAGATCAATCGATCCCGAACCTCGAGCGGAACGTACTTCCGACCCTCCGGGCATTGTGGTGGACTAGGGTCGGTGCGTAACGCCCAATCGAGCTCAGCATCGACCTCCCACACTACCGGTGCCACCAGACACGACTCCGGCAGTATGGGAGTGGGCTCCACGGACCTCTCCTCCGTGTCATACCGCCGAGACAGCGCATCTGCCTTACCGTTCTGTGACCCAGGGATGTACGTGATCTTAAATGTAAACCGGGTCAAAAACATATTCCATCTAGCCTGCCGAGGGTTCAGCCTCCTCGCTGCCCGGATGTACTCCAGGTTACGGTGGTCCGTCAAAATGAGGAAAGGGTGTTGAGCCCCCTCAAGCCAGTGCCTCCACACCTTTAGGGCCTGTACCACGGCTAACAGCTCCCTGTCCCCTACGTCATAGTTTCGCTCCGCCGGACTGAGCTTCTTGGAATAAAAAGCACAGGGGCGGAGTTTAGGTGGCGCGCCTGACCGTTGTGAAAGCACGGCTCCTATACCGGCCTCAGACGCGTCCACCTCTACCTGAAATGGTAAAGAGGGATCCGGATGCGCCAGCACCGGAGCCGAGGTAAACAGGTCCTTCAGCCTCCCAAACGCCCTGTCCGCCTCGGCAGACCACTGCAGACGCACCGGACCCCCCTTCAAGAGAGACGTGATGGGAGCTGCCACCTGTCCAAAACCCCGGATAAACCTCCGGTAGTAATTCGCAAACCCCAAAAACTGCTGCACCTCCTTCACAGTGGTTGGTGTTTGCCAATTACGCACGGCTGACACCCGGTCTACCTCCATCTTCACCCCTGACGCAGACAACTGATACCCCAAAAAGGAGACCGACTCCTGGAAAAACAGACACTTCTCTGCCTTAACATACAGGTCGTGCTCCACCAGCCTCCGCAACACTCTGCGCACCAGGGCCACATGCTCGACACGGGTAGGCGAGTACACGAGAATGTCATCTATGTACACAACGACCCCCTGCCCCTGCATGTCCCTGAAGATCTCATCCACGAATGATTGGAAAACTGACGGAGCGTTCATCAACCCGTATGGCATGACAAGATACTCGTAATGGCCCGAGGTGGTACTAAAGGCTGTCTTCCATTCATCGCCCTCCCTGATGCGCACCAAGTTGTACGCGCTCCTGAGATCTAATTTAGTGAAGAAACGCGCCCCATGCAAGGACTCAGTCATGGTCGCAATCAGCGGGAGTGGATAACTGTACTTCACCGTGATCTGATTGAGACCACGGTAATCGATGCACGGGCGTAAACCCCCATCCTTCTTCTTCACAAAAAAGAAACTCGAGGACGCAGGGGAAGTGGAAGGCCGTATGTATCCTTGTCTCAGAGATTCGTCTATGTAAGTCTCCATAGCTTTCTTCTCCTCCTGAGACAGAGGATACACATGGCTCCGTGGGAGCGCAGCTCCTGCCTGGAGGTCTATCGCACAATCTCCCTGCCTATGGGGTGGCAACCGCGTCGCCCTCGACTTACTAAACGCGATGGCCAAATCCCCATACTCAGGGGGAACGTGCAATGCGGGCACCTGGTTTGGACTCTCCACCGAGGTAGCCCCTACGGAAACGCCCAAACATCGACCCACACACTGGGCAGACCACTCCATCAGAGCCCTCTCCTGCCACGAAATAAATGGGTTATGGGTACTCAACCAGGGCATGCCCAGCACCACCGGATACGCAGGCGAGTCAATCAGAAATAGCTGAATCATCTCCTGATGACCCCCCTGCGCACACATCCTAAGTGGCGCAGTGACCTCCCTGATCAAGCCCGCACCCAACGGACGGCTATCTAGGGCATGAACGGGGAAAGGGACATCAACAGGAAGAAGGGGAATCCCTAAGGCTAAACAAAACTTCTTATCAACAAAATTCCCAGCCGCGCCTGAATCTACCAGCGCCTTATGCTGGGAATGAGGTGCTACCTGTGGAAAACTCACAGGTATACAGAAATGTGCAACAGAGAGCTCTGGGTGAGTGGGGCGCCTACTCACCTGGAAGGAATCCCCAGTGCGGGACCTGTCGTCCTCTCCCCTAGGAGGCCATCCCCAGCACCTAGCCGCGGTGTGTCCTCCCCGACCACAGTTGGTGCAGGAGATGGACCCCCTAGTAAGCCGACCCCTCCTCTCTCTAGCGCCAGCGCCCCCGAGCTCCATGGGGCACGGCTCGGAGGCGCTGGAGGGTGAAATGGACGGACCCCCCCTCGGGACGTCCGCGGGTAGCTAGCAGGTTATCCAGCCTGATGGACATGTCGACCAGCTGGTCGAACGAGAGGCTGGTGTCCCTACAGGCCAGCTCCCGACGGACGTCCTCTCGTAGACTACATCTGTAGTGATCGACGAGAGCCCGATCATTCCACCCTGCATCTGCCGCTAGAGTACGGAATTCGAGGGCGAACTCCTGGGCACTCCTCCTCCCCTGCCGGAGGAAGACCAGACGCTCCCCCCGCCGCTTTCCCCTCCGGGGGATGGTCAAACACCGCCCTGAAGCGGCGGGAGAACTCGTCGTACGTGATGGTGTCCGCGTCGATCCTCCTCCACTCCGCGTTGGCCCATTCCAATGCCTTCCCGGAAAGGCAGGAGATCAGGGCGGACACGCTCTCATGTCCCGAGGGCGCCGGGTGCACGGTGGCCAGGTACAGCTCCACCTGGAGAAGGAATCCCTGACACCCGGCCGCGGTCCCATCGTAGGCCCTCGGGAGCGAGAGTCGGACTCCTCGGGGTTCCGGTGCGGGAATGGGCGGACTGGCCGATGGTGCTGGCAGGGAGGGTGGCGGTGGAGGCGTTCCCCAGCCTCGGATGGTGGTGATCACCTCCTGCAGTGCGGTCCCCATCTGCAGGATCTGGTCCCGTTGTTCCCGGACCTGGTCCTCCAGCGTCGTCTGGGCTGCTGCGGCTCCTGCTGATTCCATTTATGGTGTGTTATTCTGTCACGCGTGCTGTAGGTGGGTGTAGTGGTGGAATCAAACGCAGAACACCGAAGGATAGTCCAACAGACTTTAGTCAATCTCCAAACAGGAAAATATGACACGACTTGCCCGAAGGCAAAAATTACGCACGAAGGTGAATAAACAAAAAAGCGCACTAACAGGTGCGTAACACTCCAACGCAGTGGAGGAAAGCTCAACCGAGCGAAATAGCGAACATAAGCCCTACACACGACAGACCAAAATCAATAACACACAACACTAGACAAACACAACGAGAAACTTATAGGACACTAATTACGCTAAACGAGAACAGGTGTCACAACAAACAGACAAAAGCAAACGAACATGAAACATACAACGGTGGCAGCTAGTATTCCGGAGACAACGAACGCCGAAGCCTGCCCGAACAAGGGAGAGAGGCAGCCTCGGCCGAAACCGTGACAGAAATAAAACATACTAGACTACCGTAAATTGTATTGTATGTGTGAAGCACGTTCTCAATAAGCAAGATATAACCTAGGCCTACCATTGATATGGCCTTATCTGACTGAATAATTTAAATAAGTTTGGAGCAGCCAGTCTTTGGTAACCGGCGCTCTTTGGAAATGGGGATGTATACAAGTCGAATGGAGTTCGCACTGCAGGTAGGCCTATGTGAATGGTGAAAAATGCAAAAGCATGATGGCAAAAGCCTCACGAGTAGACCATGTATAAACCTTTTATGGCTAGGCTACTTGGATAATGCATGGTCAGGATAAGACACCAGACACGTTATTGAACCAGCTTTAGTTATAGTAGGGTAAGGGTAGCCTATAAAGGATTATTATTAATTTTTTACGAAATGGAAAACAAGCAATTGTTACAGGAAAATAACTTCAATGTTTCTAAATACGAGTGTCACCGGATCATCTCATCTCTAGTTTCATGATGGGCATATACAGTAGGATACAGGGAGGGTTTTTAAAGCCAAAAACCATAACAGGAGCTGGTTAAAATAATGTTCAGTAGCCTACATAGATACAAATTAACAATCTTTTAATAAAGCTTTGGTGATTTAAGAATGACTGTATGTGGTCTCACGAGGCAAACCCTTTTCTGATCCTCTTGACTACTTGGCGAAGGAAAAAAAGCAGTCTTCATTGAGAGGAGGGGAGACTGTGATTGGTTTTTAATCAAACATCATTTTTTTATGTTTCTAAATACAAGGTTTACGGGCACAAAAAGCACATCGCTCTTGTTCCATGTGCATATGGGCACTGTGCATCACGGCTGGATAGGCTGTGTTTCCACTGTCAAAATCCACACCATAACCAACCATGTTACCGCTAAGACCAGCTTTTGGTTAGTCTTAAATATCCCCACCAGTGCTGCCTGAAATCTGCATTTTGGGGCACGTTTTTAAGGACACACCTCAGATTTTGCCACCCTGCCCACCTCAGCGCAAGCGAGCTCATATAAGACATCTAAATGACCAATCCTGGCGCTAGGGTTTGAAAACAGAAGAGCGGCGGTTTTACTAGGGCGTGCGTTTGACAATTACACTGGCTTAACGCCAGCCGAAAATAGAGCCCTCAGGCTGCTATGAGAGAGGGAGGAGTCAAGATTAAAAGGAATAATGTGGGTTTATTGGGTTATAAAATCTTACAATCTGTCTCTCTGTCTCTCACACGGAGGGGGTAAACAAATAGAATGTTTGCCAACAGACACAACAGGCGTGTGGTGTGGTATGCTCTCATCCCTGATCCCCCTTCACATCATCCGAATCCCAGTCAGGCCAAATGAGAATTAACAGGCATCTTCATGATGTCTCGGTAGGCTGGGACTCCTCCTTTTCTCTGCGGCCTCTCCCTCCCTCCTCCCTCCCTCCCTCCCTCCGCTCCCTCCCTCCCTCCCTCTCTCTCTCTCTCTCTCTCTCCCCCCGCCCTCCCTCCCTCCCTCCCTCCCTCTCTATCCTTCTCTCCCTTGTCTCTCCTCTCCCCCCCCCCCCTCTCTCTCCCTTCCCCCCCCCCCCCTCTCTCTCTCTCCTCCCTCCCCCCTCCTCTCATAGCCTACTGTACTGTCCAGTAAGCAGGAAGGCTCCAAACTGCAGGCTCTAGCATGTCCAGCTTCAGCCCCTCCAAGGTGATTAACCCCAGGGGTCTAAGGGATTACCCAGAGACACAGGAGCAGCTGACTTCCTGTCCAGACGAATTTGTCCATCCCATAGACTTAAATACAGTAGGTCCATCCCCCTGTAGTACCACCGACCAGTAAAATAAACCCTTTTCCTACAATGGTGTGAGATCACTGATCTCAAATCAGATGTTGAGGAGGAAATGGGGGGGTTTCTGACCCTCTCTTGGGGTATTGGGTGGGAAATGTTCTCTATGGCTTCTCTGGCCGGAGTGTGAGGTTATATCATGTGTATAACAGTAATTTCTAGCACTATCATAGGGAGTTAGGCGTAAAATAGCAGGGTTGGTGAGTTAACTCACAGCGATACTGATCCCTAATGAAATAGCAGGGCTGTTGAGTTAACTCACAGCGATACTGATCCCTAATGAAATAGCAGGGTTGGTGAGTTAACTCACAGCAATACTGATCCCTAATGAAATAGCAGGGTTGGTGAGTTAACTCACAGCGATACTGATCCCTAAGCCACCTCCAGCTTTCTTCTTCAGCTCTACGAAGATCTCATCACTCCTGAAGCAGTTTGTGCAAGGAGACCTGGAGCAGGCGTCCTGGAAAATAGATAGGGAATAAGAGTTCATGATAAAATTAAGATTAATGATACAATTCACAAAAAAGGCCAGATTGTATTGTAGTTGTTTCTATTCTTTAATTTAATTGACATTATGTGGAGTTGATTGCTAATGTTCGTTGTCTTGTTTGTGTACAAAATCAATACAATTGTTCCCCAATCTTAGCACATGCAGTATGTAGAGTATAACCATTGGTTACCTGAGCGTTGAGAATGCGTACATCAGGGAGTTGCAGTCTACTGCCAGTCTTTGGGGTCAACATGACAGACACGATCTCATCCAGGTCGTCCTCCCCAGAGCGCACGTCAGTCATCAAATTGGTCTGGGACTCGTAGTTCTTCAATAGCAGAGATCTCATGTTGTTGGGTGTCGAGGAAACTGTAAAAAAACAACAACAAAACACAAAAACAAATCCACATTGTAATAAAAGTTAGAACGAAAGTCTGGCCATGTATGTAGTGATGATCCAGAGAGGACAAAAATGTAAAATCCCAGTAACCTAAGCATTTGGAGCTCTATCTAAAACATCTAGCTGAAAAGCCAGTCTACTTAAAAAATATAGTTTATCACTAAATGTAAATGAGCCTGAACAGAGCAGAGACATATACGCACATCCAGTACCTTTGGGCTGGGCCACGATGAGTGTGACCTCCTGTGGGCTGTTCTGCATGACCTCTGCAGCCTCACTGAAGGTCACACCCTCCAGACTGGTGTGGTTCAGAGAGATCAGACGCCCACCTGAGGGAGAACATCACCACAACATTTCATGTAAATATGAATAAATAAGAATAATCATGTTGTTGGTGTCCATCTAGTCCTGGTCCAGAATCAACCTGTACCCTTAGCCCCCATCCAATTCCTTCAGATCTGTAAACACCATAGAAATAGGGATAAGAAAGGAGACTGGGGGTTGCATCTACTCTCCGAAAAAAAACTGTCCCAAAAGGGTTCTTCGGCTGTCCCCATAGGAGAATCCTTTTTGGTTCCAGGTAGAACCCTTTTTGGTTTCAGGTAGAACCCTTTTAGGTTCCATGTAGAACCCTCTGTAGAACAGGTTCTACATGGAACCCAAAAGGGGTCTACCTGGAACCAAAAGGGTTCTACCTGCAACCAAAAAGGTTTATTCAAAGGGTTCTCCTATGGGGATGGCTGAAGAACCCTTTAAGGTTCTAGATAGCAACTGTTTTTCTAAGAGTGTAGATAGGGCCCTATTCATGATTAATTAACCAGCAGAGTATCAAGAGAAAAGCTCACATGAGAGCTTAAAAAAGAAACCTGGCATGCAAGGCTATTGTTCACAAATGTACCCAGACGTCATAATCCGGTGTGAACTTTGTGAGGAGAAGCCCGGAAATAGAACCTGGTCACCTACCAGGTCTGATGCGGCCATCTTTATCCGCTGGTCCTCCCGGCACGATGGATGCTATGAAGATACCAAGGTCGTACTTCCCCACTGTGTCTTCTCCAACTATCACAACACCTGAATAGATAAAAGGGTGGCTCTGAAACTATGACTTTTCAATTCAATTCTACTCTATAACATATCCTTTAATGGATATATGACTCAAAGTTGTAAGCGATGAACTTACCGACGCCGAGCTTCGGGTCTTTCTTTAAGGACACACAAATGACTTCCCTCTCTGTTATGACACTCTTCGTTTGGGTATCTATTGAACAAAACAAAAACATATGTTGACAAAAGTACCGCCGCTAGATGTCTTCCGCACAGTGCTCGGCTTTGGAATGCTTCCAGAATGTCAACACTTGATCCCTGATTACCCAGTGTTAAGAGGTTAATTTTCTTAGGAGCTGATCATCTATCCATACCTCTTCCTGCTGAGGACATGGGGTTGGCCTCTGACCCACACTTCCCAGACCCACGAGACAGGGCTGGAGACAGGTTCCCAGGCAATGGTCTCCTTCTGCTGGAAATTATACAGGGAGAAATGATATAATAAATCATAATATAATATAATATAATAATAAATGACATATAGAAATACTTCAAAGATAAAATCAATTAAATGCAAAGGAATGTACAGTACTGTATATAGAAAGAAATAATACAGAGAAGGGTACTTTACCCACTGGGCAAAAACTGGTTGAATCAACGTTGTTTCCACGTCATTTCAACAAAATAAATCAATGTGATGACGTTAAATCAACATGGAAAACTGATTGAATTTGCAAGAAGTCATCAACGTAAAGGACATATATATTTTTTTTCACCCAACTTTTAACCTAAATCCAAAGACATGGTGCATTTTTTTGTTGATTTCACGTTGAATTCACGTTAGTTGACAACTCAACCAAATGTAATTCAAAAATAGATGTTGAACCGGTGTCTGTGCCCAGTGGGTATGCTCTCCATCACTCCTACCCCTGCTCGTGGAGGACACGCTGCTGTTTGATCCGCGCCTCGATCTTGGCCGCGATGTCATCACACAGTTTGTTCATGGAGCCATCCTGCGGTGTGGTCAGACCGCTGTCTGTCAGTACGGTCTCAGAGTACCTGTTCATACGGCTGTTCATCTGGTTGTTCATCCGGCTGTTCATCTGGCTGTTCTGTGCCCGACACACTGCTGCGTATTGAACTATGTTGTCCTCTGAAAAGAGAAAAAGCTTTTTAGTTCAAATCAAGGTTGGTCAAAGGTGGCTACAGTGAAATCAAGATAGGTGTAAATGTAGATCCAATAACTGTGCTATACTCCCAAGATCCAGAAGTTTCCCTGTTTGGCCTATCAATAAACCCACATGGTACATTAGCGGGATATATAGTTTATAAGCTATATACTGTGTATGGCTGAAGAATCTGGCAAAAAAGATTCACCAAGAACAGGACACACACTGTATAGAATCCGAACAAGCTGTCCCTGGGACACTATTAACAGGAATGTAGTAGTGGTTATAGTTTGGGCCAGGAGTTTTTTTCTTGACCATGTGACTTTACCAGTTATGATGTCATAATAAAATGTTCTGACCTGAGGCCAGACTGTGGCCGAGCTGGCGAGAGTTCATCTCATTGTGAAACTTGTGCTGGGCAGAGCAGAGGTTGCACAGGTACGTGGCCGTCTTGGATCTCTCTGTGACAAAGGTGTGCTTTTTCTTACTCCCTCTGCTCTCAATGACAAATTTCCGGTACTGTGGTGGGACAGAGAGCAAGGAGGGGTTAAGGCAATTACAGACATAACTAGCCAGCAAAACAACAATAGCTGCAAAATTCACTGGCAAAACAAACACTTTATATTCAATTATATTCACTTCAGCCGAGGCTGCTCCTCCTCCTTGCTCGGGCAGGCTTCGGCGTTCGTCGTCCCCGGAGTACTAGCTACTGCCGATCGATGTTTCGGTGTTTGTCTTGTTTGGTCTTTATTGTTTTCACCTGTTTCCCATTATGTTGTATTGTATTCCCTATATTACCCCCTGTCTCTTATTGGGTATTGTGTGTGATTGTTCTTTGTCATTCCGGCAGTTGCTTTGGTGTACGGGTTATTGTGTTTTCCTCCCTGTTTGAAGGTTTGTTGTTTTTGTACGAGATTTACTGTGTTCAGTAAAAGTACGTTGCCAGCCGCTCTGTGTCCTGCGTTTGACTTCGCTGACCGCATACACATCGCGTGACACTTCCAATATTCCTCAGCTCCATTTATTAAAGTGCTATTCCAAGGAAAATGTTAAAGGTTTAGAAGTCAATTTGAAAGACGTCCTCTAGCGATTTTTTAAAACTTTTACAGCTGAAATATAAATACACACACTAAAGGGTAAAACAAAAATGTTTTGTGCATAATAGTGTCATTTTAAACACAACTGAAAACTTCAAGGAGTAGGCCATTCAAGGAGTTGGTCTGATGGTCAAATATGATGTCATCGGCCTCCCACTTGCTTGAGGAACAATAGAGGAGCAATAGAGAACAAAAGAGGAAAGGTCCACTGCCATGTCATGAGGATACCTGGACCACCTATTGAGATGTGCCTTTTGTTAAGTAAATCAGGTGTTAAATGAGGTGAAATGGAGACTGGCGTGCCACTTTAAATGTAAATAAACAAGAGTTTTTGTCACACTCTCATCTGTTTCACCTGTCTTTGTGATTGTCTCCACCCCCCTCCAGGTGTTGCCCATCTTCCCCATTATCCCCAGTGTATTTATACCTGTGTTCTCTGTTTGTCTGTTGCTAGATCATCTTGTCTCGTCAAGCCTACCAGCGGTTTCCCCCTTGCTCCTGTCTTTTTCAAATTCCTGTTTTCCCGGTTTTGACCATTCTGCCTGCCCTGACCCTGAGCCTGCCTGCCCCCTGTTCTAGTAATACACTTTTGTTACTTCGACACTGTCTGCATCTGGGTCTTCCCTAAAACGTGATAGTTTTGCATGATCTAAAAAGGCATAATACTCACAGAGGAGGAGATACTGTTTGTTTCCCGCCAGTGGAATGTCTGACTTGTGGAGCGGGAGCTATCTTTAACCTCATACACTATGACTCCTTTGGCACACACTCCTAGGATCAGCTCTCCGATGACTGGCTTCTTCTCGTGGCCCACGCGGTAGAACAGAACGCCGTACTCAGGAAGCTGCTGGGTGGCCTGGGAAGGAAGTTAGTCGTTAGAACTGGGTCATCGCTAGCTTCCACAGCCACAAAGTCATAAACCATGCTTGTTTCTACAATTTCTCTTTAACCATAACCTTAATCCTAACATTAACCACACTGCTAACCTTAAATTAAGACCAGGAAGCACATTTTGTTTTCATGAATTGTTATGATATTATGACGTGCTGTGGAATCTAGTGGAAACCGGGAACTGCCAACACGCAAGCTTCCCGCAAGGGCTAAGAATACAAGCCAAACGTGTACTATATAGTATTACCATATGTTCACCTTTAATGCACTGTGCAGGTGCCACAGCCTTTTGGTGTAATGATTCAAATATCAGTCCACTGAGTATGGAATTAATAACGTTAATATAACCGTAGAACTCTATGGAGTGTTTTCATTGTGTCACGATCGTTATTGGAAGACATGGACCAAGGCGCAGCGTGGTAAGTGTACATCTTTATTTGTACTTAACTCACGAACAAAACAACAAACAAACGATACGTGAAGTCCTGAGGTTATAACACAACAAACCTTTCCGGAACAAGATCCCACATCTAACTGGTGCCAACAGGCTGCCTAAGTATGGTCCCCAATCAGAGACAACGAGCTACAGCTGCCTCTGATTGGGAACCACCCTGGCCAACATAGATCACCACGATCGAGAAACTAAAACATAGAAAACTAAACAATAAAAATCCACACCCTGGCTCAACATTTAAGAGTCCCCAGAGCCAGGGCGTGACACATTGGTTCATGTTACCTTGAGGAACTCAAGCTCGGACTCGTCGGTACTCATCGTGGAGTTATTGGCATGTAACTGTAGCAACTCCTCCTTTAGGTAAGGCAAGGCTCTTTTCTCCATGATGCTTTTGGCAACGTACTGGTCTGGGCGATAGTAGTTCCTCCCATAAACCTTTAGAAAAGACCAGACAAAGTTAGTCATCACTCAACTATAACATTTTCAGAGCTAATATAACGAAATATGAACAAGGTAATTGATATTTAAGTATGCAGTTAAATCCACCTAGACCTTGACCAATCACGTGACAATTGTGTGATACAGCATATCAAAGATACTTCATAACCATATAACTAAAATAAAATATAAAAAACACCTCAGGCATGCAGTCTCCATACTCTGCTTGGAGAGCCAAGGCACCCAGATAAAGGCCTGTCTCTTCATGGCAGGCCAACCTGTCCTCCAGTATATCTTTCCTCAGCTGTAGGTAGTACTGGTGACGAGTCAGTTTGTGCCTGCCAAAAACGCCAGTCACAAAACCACAATATGCTTACATAGAGAAAGCGGTGGACTATCTGCAATATTGCCTGACCTCTATGGATTCTATAGTCCTTCAATACAACACAGTGTGAGCATAAGAGGATGTGTCGTACTGAACTTACAAAAGGAGAGAGATGTCGTGGACAAAGAATTTGACCCTGAAGAAAAGGACAAACGTGGAGGTAGGCACTTTCTTCCAACTCTCGGGGGCAACCTTGGATATCTTTGTGTCATTGTCCAGGAAGAAAAACTCATTATCTAAAAACCGAGACAAGATGAAGAAGAGTGACATGTTTAACACATGAACCACATAAAGACCACCTATAACTCTTTCAGAACTGTAGTTAAACAACGACAAATCAGCAGGTAGAGGAAATGTTAGACAATAGCCATTCAAAACAAAACACCACAGTGAATTATTTACAGTAAATTACATACAGTATAATACTGGTAAATTACCATCAATGTAAGCAAGGCCGAAGTAGAAGTGTTCAACCAGGTTGGAGTGGGCAACAATCATATTAAAGACATCCCCGCCTCCTGACTTGACGTCACACTTGACCAGGATGCTCTGTCCGTTTGGCATGACCACACTCAGTTCCCTCATAGTGGAGGGAGACTTCCCTTTCTTTGACTGGATTGACAGGCAGAAAGATAGTGATTAATATAAAGGCAGGCTGGTGACAGTTGGGATGATGTAAAAAAGCATTTGGTGATGGAGCTCTTGATGATGAAAAGTCATAATTACCACAATGGATCCGGGCAGCTCCAAGACAACCAGTGGCTCGTCTAACATTCGAATAAACTCGGGACCCATATCCTGCAGATATAAAGAGCGAAACATTAAGAACTACACTACGTAGCCAAAAGTATGTGGACACCTGCTCGTTGAACATCTAATTCCAAAATCATGGGCATTAACATGGAGTTGGTCCCCCCTTTGCTGCTATAACAGCCTCCACTCTTCTGGGAAGGCTTTTCACTAGATGTTGGAACATTGCTGTGGGGACTTGCATCCATTCAGCCACAAGAGCATTAGTGAGGTCGGGCACTGATGTTGGGCGATTAGACCTGACTCGCATTCGGCGTTCCAATTAATCCCAAAGGTGTTCAATGGGGTTAAGGTCAGGGCTCTGTGCAGGCCAGTCAAGTTCTTCCACACCAATCTCAACAAACCATTTCTGTATGGACCTCGCTTTGTGCACGGGGGCATTGTCATGCTGAAACAGGAAAGGACCTTCCCCAAACTGTTACCACAAAGTTGGAAGCACAGAATTGTCTAGAATGTAATTGAATGCTGTAACGTTAAGATTTCCCTTCACTGGAACAAAGGTGCCTAGCCCGAACCACGAAAAACAGCCCCAGACCATTATTCCTCCTCCACCAAACTTTACAGTTGGCACTATGCATTGGGGCAGGTAGCGTTCTCCTGGCATCCACCAAACCCAGACTAGTCCATCAGACTGCCAGATGGTGAAGTGTGATTCATCACTCTAAAGAACGCGTTTCCACTGTTCCAGAGTCCAATGGCGGCGAGCTTTACACCACTCCAGCCGATGCTTGGCATTGCGCATGGTGACCTCAGGCTTGTGTGCGGCTGCTCGGCCATGGAAACCCATTTCATGGAGCTCCCGACGAACAGTTATTGTGCTGACGTTGCTTCCAGAGGCAGTTTGGAACTCAGTAGTGAGTGTTGCAACCGAGGACAGATGGTTTTTACGCGCTACACGCTTCAGCACTCGGCGGTCCCATTCTGTGAGCTTGTGTGGCTTACCACTTTGCGGCTGAGGTGTTGTTGCTCCTACACGTTTCCACTTCACAATAACAGCACTTACAGTTTACCGGGGCAGCTCTAGCAGGGCAGAAATTTTACAAACTGACTTGTTGGAAAGGTGGATGCCACGTTGAAAGTCACTGAGCTCTTCAGTAAGGCCATTCTACTGCCAATGTTTGTCTATGGAGATTGCATGGCTGTGTGCTTGATTCTATACACCTGTCAGCAACGGGAGTGGCTGCAAGGGCCAAATCCACTAATTTGAAGGGGTGTCCAGATACTTTTGTATATATAGTGTATGTTCTGATATTTCAACCCAAAATGTCACACGACTCTCTATGATATCATACCTTGGCTTTCTTTTCATTAAGACTGACAGTGGACTCGTTCAGATACACGTATGGTATAGGTCTAATGCTGCCACGGCGAAAGCCATCCAGGTAAGGGCTACAGGGGTTACGGGACTGATAGCTGCAGTAACTCTCTCTGTGACGTAACCCCTGGGCAATTCTGGAATAAAAAAAGACAATACATGGATTCTTTAATTTATTATCCACAGGCTGTTGGGTGAACTATCCCTTTAAAAAAAAAAAACTATATTTGTAAAGCTGATACTATGTATTGCGGTCAGAATGATCCTTTGTTGTTTGAAATGTGCCGGCCAGGTTCTTACCCTCTGCTGAGCTTGGCTTGGAATGTTGAGGCGCTTCTGTTTCTCAGTGCCCAGGTAGAGTTATGGTGCGAGGCACTTCCTGAGAGACTGTGAAGCCTCTCTCTGACCATCTGACTCCGGTCAGTAAGCTGAGGACCATTCTCAGCCATGGACACGTGATCGACCTAGAAAACCCAATAGAATTACAGCTACTGAATTACAAAAGTTGCACGGACCTATCCTTAAAAATAACCGTATGTCACAAATTAACTCAATTAAAATAATTGAAACCCAGCTTTAGATTGCAGCCGAGATAGAGGTTCAGCCAGCCAAGAGTCCGTAGTGTCACAATATGGAGGCCAATGTATTTCTAGGAACTTTGACCTTATAGTGTCAGCATGCTGGACGGCACATGGAGTGTAGGGTGACCCTGGCACGCTTTAGTATACATCACTAAGAAACCAGCGGGGTGCTGTGGTATTAGCCTCATCGAAAACGAAGACAGACAGAGATAACAGCTTGAGTTAATTAATTCATAATGTCTCCCCCACTGCTTCAATGGATGCTTTTGTGTGTAGGCCTATACCAAACTGGGACCGATCTCAATTTGAGCTTCTCGATAACAAATGGACAAGATGAAGAGTTGATGACTTACGTATGACTGCCAAATGTATAACTGTAGAGCAGGTTTTTGCATACACAACAGCCAGGTAGGTACAGTGATAGCTATACTGACTACAGGTGCATTGCCTAAGCCAAAGGGAATGTGGGTGAACTCACAGAGTCCCTGAACACATCTTCTACTAGCTGTTTGATGAGCTTCTCTGGTGGGGGCAGTTGAGCAGTCTTGATGTGCTGGTCACAGGTCTCCAGCACAGTCACGAGATCCGCTCGTCTCTGGGCCATGTCCTCACACATACTCAGCAACAGGTTGTTCAGTTTGTCACTCAGCTGAATGGGCTGGTTTTGAGGTAGTTGATAATCAACGGACCAGTAGAGGGTCATTCCTAGGGAATATACAACCATCTGAAGAAAACCCAAAAGAAAAATGAGTAAAATCCTTCCAGAGGAATTCATGTAAAACCAAAAGTCAAAAGCCAAAACAGCGGTGAGATGTCACACCAATGACCATAGGGGTTTACAAGACAGCACAGACAGATCTGGAACCATGCTAGTAGTAGTGAGATACAATTTATTTTATTGTTTTTTGTTTATTTTGTTTTTAAAGCGACTTTGAAATTCTACTTGTAATGAGAAGTTCTATATAAAATACATGTAGTACTATTACGATTACACTAAGATCAGGATTTCTTGAACAACCTTTTCCGAGGCTGTCCTGTTGGAGGCAACGTGGCCCTCCTGTACCTCTGGAGCAGTGAAGGAGCCCAGGTCCCCTGACCGGGCACAGCTCTTAAAGGCAAGGTTCCCACGGGCTGACAGCAACATAGAGCCAGGGCTCAGTACACTGCACATGTTACCAGGACCTAACGACAAGACAAAGACAAAAGCCATACTATTAACTTGCATGTCTGCATGGCTATAGGAATAATTCACTCCAAAAATCTAAGTTCGTCAGACGTTAGAAGTAGAGCATGATATGATATGGTGGTTCCTATCTTTCCCATACGTTTCGGGCTTGAGGCATATTTCTTCTAATGCATAAAGATGCATATAAAAACAGAAGTCATGGATTATGAACTCAGCTCAACATTAGACCACTTTTGAGGTCTGAAAACATCTGACAAATGTTTAATGGGCCATGAACAATCCCTTTAAGATCAAAAGGTCATTTTAGCAACTGCCAGTGGGTATTATCATGGGTCAGGAAAGGGATATAAATGTGTCCAGGTACCTTTGTGGGAGATGTCCGTTAAGGCCTCGGCAGTGCCCAGAAGCAGACACCATACCTCATCCTCCTCCAGAGGTGACCCCCGGGCCTCCAGCACCTCCGCCAGGGTCACGAACGTGCCCATCCTGGGGGACACAGCCATGGGAAGATACAGTCATATATTATCTAAAGGAGGGAACAATTGTTGTTATTTAAGGTCAAACTCTGTACTAGCTAACTTTATTCCTAGTTATATGTACATACGTACAGTATCTACCTCAATTACCTTGTACCCCTAAACATCGACTAGGTACTGGTACCCTGTGTATATAACCAAGTTATCCTTACACATTGTGTATTTATAGTTACGTGTTTTACTTTCTATTATTTCTCTATTTTCTTTCTCTCTACATTTCACAGTTAGTCAACACCTGTTGTTCACAAAGCATGTGACAAATTCTATTTTATTTTATTTGATGAGAAATATACTGTATGTTTCATCGTAGTCTCTGTGAAAAAATAAGCAAAGCTAATATTTGGATTGCAAAGAAAACTGTTGAATGTAATAAACTTCACCGTTGCCATAATCATTTCAGAATTTTAAAAAGGGTCCACACAACCATACTGTCTTATCGCATAAATCATTATCTAAAAGTGATCCTTTTTACTGAGAATATAGAGATATTAAAGAGAACAAAGGTACATTTGGCCAATTAGACAACTATCTACAGATGATTATCTAGAGTACCATGGGTAAGGCAACTGCTTGGTCTAATGGAATAAATACAGACGCCCCCTCCCCTCCTCCACCCATCTGTTTCTTTCCCCCTCTCCCTCATACACGCACACCAGGCTTTCGCACATTTCACACTGAGCTTTCAGTTTGGCAAATACCGGTAATTGGCTTTCACAGAGCCTGAAGGATTTGCTCTAATGTGTCTGCTCTCTCTGTGCCTTTGATTTTTTTCTCCCTCTCGTCACCAAGGTGACGGCGAAGCATTCAGATGAGAAGTGACAGTGCTGAGGTTCTCTGACATATCAAATTAGTTTACCTCGTGTATGGTTTCACTAAACAGGGATGGCATTATAGCATTAGGGTCGTTCCACAAGAAATTGGAACAAAAAAAGAACATTTTTTCTGAAATGTAATACATGAAAAAGTATTTTGGAGGAAGGATGTTGGAACAACCCATTAGGGCTTTTGTTTTTGTATGCATATAAAACCTTATTTTAGAGGGATGCAGGTTCACCTTTCTTTAAATCAAACCTCAAAGTTGTGGAGTTATACACTGACTGAGTGATGAATGTAACTACAAGGTGGTATCACATTTCACTCTAAAATCATACGTGATTCCTGAAAATATCAACTAAATCAAAGGATATACAGTACTATAATAAAATGAACGTCAATTATTTAATTGATAGTGTAGCATCTCTGGTTCCTGCAGGTGGAAGCGTCTCCAAAAATATATACTGTAGGGAGTTAGTTATGCTGGGTTCGTCATTACAGTTATACCATATATTGTGTAGCCTTGTTGGTGTTTTGAATCAGGGATAACAGTGGGTGGATGGGTATTCATACAGTAGCTAAGTCATTTACATACTCAAAGAGTGAGCTGAGGCCTAAAACGCTCTGTACCAGCATTTGATCAAAGTAGTCAGCGTATTAGAAATATCATGTTGTGGAAGGTGTGATCAAAACAGTGTATGTTTACCGCAGCAAAAGACGAGGTCATTATGGACTCCATCTCTATGTGCAGTATGTCGTTAGGACAAAAAACACGTAAGCTACAAACTAGAGTAGCATTACACAAACACGGAACAGAAGGTTGATAGAACATGTAATTGGATGCCAAATAAGCATTAGAACAATGCAATCCAAAATCAAAAGACCACATATGCTGCATTTGTTTTAATTTGTTCGTCCCTTTTTACCTATCCACAAAAATATCCCTTTCAAGTAGCCTACATTATTCTGGTTTGAACTGGATTGTGAGTGTGATACCTAGAAGTTCCCCTAGTCAATACCAAAGGCTGGCCGGGGACACGAGGTTTAGTGGGAGATCTAATTGCTACAAAGCCATTGCATCCGCTCTACAGGAACACAGTAGTTCCTATTGTATTTCAACCTGGGCGCAGCTGAACAGGACAGCATTTACAAGCCAAGACTAAGCAGCTGCCATCTTGGTTAATGTAGGCCTATAAGATAGTGTTTCTCATAAACAATGGCAAACTGTCTGAGGATTCCTTTTATCCCAAAATAAGTAGGTAAGCAATCATTCAACTGTAACTCACACTCACTCAAGATTGTGTTTTCTGACAGAAGAGAGTAAGCACTACTGCTGCAATAACAGGCATCAGTAAAATGAGAATACTGTATGTTAGATTAGAAGGCTGAAGGCTGGTACAAAGGACATCAACAGAGTGAGACTGCTGGATAGGCACATCCTCCTTTTGTACACCCATTCCCTAAATGCCACGTTCCCAATTGGTTTACTCTGAAAATAGACAAATATCATACATCATTTATCGTATACAGTTGAAGTCGGAAGTTTACATACACCTTAGTCAAATACATTTAAACTCAGTTTTTCACAATTCCTGACATTTAATCCTAGTAAAAATTCCCTGTTTTAGGTCAGTTAGGATCACCACTTTATTTTTAGAATGTGAAATGTCAGAATAATAGTAGAGAGAATTATTTATTTCAGCTTTTATTTCTTTCATCACATTCCTAGTGGGTCAGAAGTTTACATACACTCAATTAGTATTTGGTAGCATTGCCTTTAAATTGTTTAACTTGGGTCAAACGTTCCGGGTAGCCTTCCACAAGCTTCCCACAATAAGTTGGGTGAATCTTGGCCCATTCCTCCTGACAGAGCTGGTGTAACTGAGTCAGGTTTGTAGGCCTCCTTGCTTGCACACACTTTTTCAGTTCTGCCCACACATTTTCTATAGGATTGAGGTCAGGGCTTTGTGATGGCCACTCCGATACCTTGACTTTGTTGTCCTTGGAAGACCAATTTGCGTTCAAGATTTAACTTCCCGACTGATGTCTTGAGATGTTGCTTCAATATATCCACATAATTTTCCTTCCTCATGATGCAATCTATTTTGTGAAGTGCACCAGTCCCTCCTGCAGCAAAGCACCCCCACAGCATGATGCTGCCACCCCCGTGCTTCACGGTTGGGATGGTTTTCTTCGGCTTGCAAGCAACCCCCTTTTTCCTCCAAAAATAACGATGGTCATTATGGCGAAACAGTTCTATTTTTGTTTCATCAAACCAGAGGACATTTCTCCAAAAAGTACGTTATTTTGTCCCCATGTGCAGTTGCAAACCGTAGTCTGGCTTTTTTACGGCGGTTTTGGAGCAGTGGCTTCTTCCTTGCTGAGCGGCCTTTCAGGTTATGTCGATATAGGACTTGTTTTACTGTGGATATAGATACTTTTGTACTTGTTTCCTCCAGCATCTTCACAAGGTCCTTTGCTGTTGTTCTGGTATTGATTTGCACTTTTCGCACCAAAGTACATTCATCTCTAGGAGACAGAACGTGTCTCCTTCCTGAGCGGTATGACGGCTGCGTGGTCCCATTGTGTTTATACTTGCGTACTATTATTTGTACAGATGAACGTGGTACCTTCAGGCGTTTGGATATTGCTCCCAAGGATGAACCAGACTTGTGGAGGTCTACAATATCTTCTGAGTTCTTGGCTGATTTATTTTGATTTTCCCATGATGTCAAGCAAAGAGGCACTGAGTTTGAAGGTAGGCCTTGAAATACATCCACAGGTACACCTCCAATTTACTAAAATGATGTCAATTAGCCTATCAGAAGCTTCTACAGCAATGACATCATTTTCTGGAATTTTCCAAGCTGTTTAAAGGCACAGTCAACTTAGTGTATGTAAACCTCTGACCCACTGGAATTGTGATACAGTGAATTATAAGTGAAATAATCTGTCTGTAAACAATTGTTGGGAAAATTACTTGTGTCATGCACAAAGTAGATGTCATAACTGACTTGCCAAAACTGTGTGGAGAGTTTGAAAAACAAGTTTTAATGACTCCAACCTAAGTGTATGTAAACTTCCGACTTCAATTGTAGGTATACCCCTAGACACAGATCTATACATACCACATGTACAAAGATGCATTTCTAACACACCATACAAGATAACGCTCCTCATCCCCACCACCCATGTCAGACAAGGTAGGTCTATTTTTGCACCAGAACAGTTAGTACAAAAATATCTAAATAATTTAAATATAAAGGCATGATAACTGGCTATATTCATGCTGTCATTGCATTTAAAACATATTTACTAACTCTTATCCTAGCAAAATATCAAAATAATTTCCCAATAATTAAATTGATGGGCTAAAATGCCACAGTAACGCACCTGCTTCCCTGACGATAACATCTCTTTAGGTTAAGATCATGCCTACCAGGTTATTGTCTAGAAACTGCCGATGTAATCTCTTGTAATTAAACTGTAAATACCTCATGGAAAGCAAGGGCCACAATTACCTTCCAATTACATACCGGCATTCATTCACTTACTCACTCATTGGTTGTGTTCCGCAACTTTTAGGCATTCATAGAATATCACATTTGTGTAGAATAGATGTAGGTCTATATTTTTGCGCAATTCTATCCAATTAAACCCATAAACTTACCTTATTTCATTCAATATCTGAAGAAGTCCCTCTTTAGAATGCCTCCAGCTCGAATGTAATCTTCTCAAGCATCACACAGCATTCCACCTGCGGCTGTACTCTTCATTTGCTACTTTTTCTAGCCTATCAGGCGACTTTTCATCTATCCATAATCCCATCACAGTACAGCGCGGAAATAACTAATTTTCTCCATAGAATATAACGTTCTGTACACAAACGTAGCGATGTGTCGATACTGTGTTTTCTGTCAATTCCGACTATATTTAGACTCCAGCTATAAGAACTCAATTGGATTACGCAGGAGCGGTTTGACAAGCAGCAAGGCAGTGGGCAACCAATTGGTGTGGGCAAGTGCTCTGAGCAGAATTTAGCTAATCTGTCAGTAGAAAGGTGATATAGGTATTGTTCTGCTCAGTTCTACTAACCAAAACCATGTTAATAATAGTTGTTTTTTTGTTGTTGAGAAAACTTTGACAATAATGTG